AATGCAAGACACATTGTAAAAACACTAACAAAGCAAAATATGTAATATGCACATAGCAAAAGAGTTTTATATAGTACAGAAAATAGTTTTATAACAATCTTTGAAGTATCATATACAACAATCTGAAGTATCATATACAACAGGCTCACACAGTCGTGATGGACCATTTAACCATGAAAAGAACCGTTTAACCAATGAAATGGTTCTTTGATGACCATTGCCTTTCCTGAATAATCCTTGAAGAATCCCCTTTTTTAAGAATGTATTTCTGAACACATAATTTCTGAAACACATTGAAGACCACTTTCAAAAAATGTCCTTTGGAGTGAGCTTTACACATACACAAGAAATATCAATGCTTCATCATGATTAATACAGCATTTATTACAGAAATAAAATGTTTTTCAATTGTTGTCATTCTTTTCAAAAACTCATTATATGTAAAACTGTTACATCAGGATATACAGCAATTTGGAATTAAACTCTCCATATTCTGTCAGTGTGAAACAACAGGGGCCAATGAGATACATCTAATTCTGAGAAGGATCTATTCAAATCACAGTGGTAGACTTTGTTTAAAGTATGAATAATAGTTTAAAATCTTGGATTTCACAGGTGTGGTCCTGTATTTCTCTGTAACTGAGAGTACACTGTATTATGGAGTGAGAAGCGGCTACATCGCTAACAGCAACAGTGGTAAGGCCTGAAGAGGGTCAAAACTAAGCCTAAACATTTTGCTCTTCTGGAGTATATTTATTTAAACAAATATCTGCAGATACCAATACGATTCTGATCCATTGTGCATCTCTATAACACATCAAAATTGTCCTCTATACATTATGACTGTTATCAGCATCCTAAGTACATTTGCGCTATGTTTGTGACCTTAATATAAATTAATACTTTTATATTGGGAGGAAATTTTGTACCATAAAAAAAACTTCAAAACTTTCAAAAGTTTAACAAATAAGAAAAAACACTTACTCAACAGGAGGCTTGGTGGGTAGAGCATTTTCATACCAATCTGAGTAGTCGTAATAGTCCTTCCCAGCTTCTGCACTCATTGTGCTGGCTTAAGGATCAAACAAATGTATCAGTATATCAAAGGGATCCAGTTAGTCAGGCACAGAGGTATGAGGTTCTCTTCCCCCTTCCAGTGGGACAGACTGCTCTTCTCCTGTTTGGTTACACTGTGCAACATAAATGCAACAGAAATGTCCCTCCAAAGTTTAGTAACTGCTGGCAGTACTGGGAAGTCCTTTTTCTGCCTCTGTGTCCAGGTGTTGTAGCAGAATCTTCTGAAGAGTAATGTGACAGATCCTTGCTGCAGTGTGCCACCCCCAAACTCCTCTACTCCTGTCTTGGCCTTCTTTTTCAGATGGAGATTACCACCACATTGGAAGCCTGAGAGAGAGAGAGAGAGAGAGAGAGAGAAAGAAAGGAGTGTGAAAGCAGGGAGAGCAACGTTCCAGACAGGGGCAGCCAATCTCTCCAGCCACCTGTGGCTTACTGGGATTATGTGGCCTTCAGGGGCGGGCTGTTGGCTGGATGTCCGGCATGAAGGGTACCAGGAGCACTGGAACTTATAAAACCCTCGGCTGTAGGTGTGTGGGATGGGAACAACTGAGGAACATTCAGCCTATCAGCCGTTTACTCTTTCCATTGCGATAACAGGGAAATTTCATTGAGAGGATTCTCCTTTCCATTTCAGAGTCATCTTACTGGGGAGATTCCTAATGATGAGTCAAAGAAAAGGGGTGGAAAGCAATATTACTACTGCTACAGACACACTATGTTGATCTTGATCGAATCAGCCAAATGTGTCATCAACATAGTACTTAAGACTTCAGGAAAGAAAAAAACCTTCCCAACAACAATTGTAGCCTTTGTGAATCTGTTCAGAACATTTATATGACAACCTACAATAGTGCTCTGTAGACCCATTGATAGTAGATATTATAATATGAGCAAGTATGCAAATTCAGTTTTGAGACATACAATGGCACTTTGTAGTCACTTAAACATACTGACGTAACAATAGGAGCAAGTATGCAAATTTTGGTGCTATAACACAGAAAAAGAAGACACTATAGTGATAAAGATAGCACAAAATAAGTACGACGAAGAAACATTTGGCCTGTCAAAGTTGTTCTGTAACTAGTTTTACCTTAAATTACTGGAGATTCTAAATAGGATTGGATTTTTTTTACTTTTATGTAATACCTGGAAATAAACTTGTATGATTTATTTGATATGTTACAACTTGCAGTGAATTACAGGACTGATACACACAGTAACATCCAACATGCAACAATATCACAAGTTTTCTTTGGGTACTACTTTGTCTTACAACACCCTACATGTGCCTCTGAATGTTTTAAAGAAAATATGTTTTAAGCCAAGAATTTATCAAAAACCCAGGCCTCAGGCAAAAAGTCTCAGGCATTAGGCAACATACTCACAACCATTTAATATAATAACTTTTGGTGATACAGCTTTTAGAACACTTCAGTTGTCGTTCCTATCACCACCACTGTAAACAATTCTGACTCTGTAAGTTTCACTAGAATAACATCTCACATCAAATTGATCAAAATTATAATGAATCATTGGAACTGATATTAGAAAGCCTGTACTTGGGGAGTCTTCCATCAGCTCAGAAAACTAGGGCCACACGAGTGGAATGAAGACAGGGTGGGGGTAAAGGTTTACGCCTACTTTTCCTTCAGCACTTCAGCACCAATTACACACATTTAATGACCTGAATAAGACAAAGATGGCTGAATTCTGAGTTTTGTCATTTGTAGGGAAACAACAGCGTTATTCCATTTGGTTGGAGAACACAACAAAGCTGTCTTTCCTGCCACTCTTGATCTCTACTCCTTTTTTCCTCTGTCCCTCTCTCTCTGTGTTGGCACTCAAGTTTTGTAACCCGAGTCTCAGTGTTAGGGTTGGTTTGCCACTCTCATTATGCAGGGATTACAGTCAAAGACAGTTAAAAAAGGTACCAAGACCACTCCTGAGAGGGGGACAACAGCCCCTAGAATCACCCCTGTGAGAAAAATAAGGGTCTGGATAAATAGAGGGTGCTGAACAAAGAATGCTTTGAAGACTTACATCACCGAGACGGTGGTGGATTTGTGCCAGAGAGTTTGTTTGCACCAGGTGGAAAAATGACACTCGGTTTTGGAGGTCTAACTGAGGCTGAGCTGTAAATTATGAACAAAAAACCTGTTGATAAGTCAGTTGGCAAAAGGACTGCCTTAGACAATGTCTAATTGTTACATTATGGTGTACTATTGAGCACAAGAAAAACAGTGCCAAGAATAATGAATGAGAAAAATAATGATTTAGATTAGATTCAGTTTATAGGCTGTATGGGAAATAGCCTTGACAGTGAACTTCACATATAAGGGAGATGCACTACAAAAAAAGGTTTTTCTCCACAAAACATTTTCAAAAGGAATGCATAATGCTTAACCTTCCTCATGTTACTTACATTTGCACCAATCTATATCACACATTTCTGTAGACAATGACTAAAGCCATCTCTAGCAGGATATAGGCCTCCACTGCTTTTAAAGTTGGGTGCAGCACTCACACAGCCCACTCACTAACTAGAAATGGGATCCTGTCTCTGCCCTGAACCTCTTACATGACTGAATCTAATTAAAGAGACAGTGGCATGGATCAGACAGTGCAAGACAGACGTTCTCTCTAATGATTTCATATCCGCAATCATCACTCACAGTCTCTTGGGAGCACTTACATCAGCCGGTTAAAGGAAAAGAAGTCTCCATGGTGCTAACCTGGGTATGCCAATGACAGACTGGGACATTTAATGTTGGGTAAGAAAAACAGCCATCCATCATGGACACAGGGCAGGTGACAGCTTAATCCCCTGATCTCAGCAGCCTTAAGATAATAATGACCTTTTTTCTTTTCTTAAAGGAGACCCATAATAGACAACTGCTCTTGCCTTTTAAATTGTATTGTTCCTTACGAGACCATTATTGGCTGTCCATATTACTGACAGATCACATTTCATAAAAGGCACTACACTCCAGCATTTTATATAGAAATGGCTCAGCAAGATCTCAAACCAGGGACGTGACCATCTGTCGCTGGCAATTTGTGAACAGCACTACATAACAAAACAGTACTGGACTGGGCTTAAACAGGTAAGTTCAGACTGTTCAATAGAAGTTTCCTCTTAAAACGCCCATATATTAACGAAAAACAAGATTTCCTCACTTTTTTAAAATATGTGTGTTGTGTGTTGTAGTATATGTACTGTTCACTCCCCAGTGTCCCCATACGGTCCATATATGGAAACTAAGCTGAGTGATTGTGACGGTCATGAAGAACCAACATATTTGCATATATCTGCATATTCAGCCTACAGCAGTTTAGCCTGCAATTCACCTTGAAGTTATAAGGAGTGTTTCAGCCTGGACTGATTTTTGAATGAGGAACAATACAGTGAGATTTTATTCTAATAGATAAAAATAGGTTAGGACTTTTCCACGTAAACACGAATTGTATAGTAAGTGGACCTCAGGGAGAAAAATAAATGCAAGAAAAAAAGAGAGTATAGGCTCTTTAATGGACAGCCCGAGGTCTTTGCATCAGGTCATCTAGCTGCGAAATGACGCTTCTTAAATTTACTCTTTTAAGCCATCAGAGTGTCTCGTCTATCAGGTATTGCGGACTCTGCTGCATTATATATATACACATCTTTTTGAGTGGAATATGGTGTTGGATGTCTCAGAAGAGAAGCATTTTTGGGGGGCGTAATATTATTAGCTACCGATTAGCAACTTGCTAGTTAATACACCTGTGGGGAGACAACAACCATCTACCCCGCTTAAGCGTGGCGCCCTCGTTTACACACAGAAGCTGTGCTGTTATATTTACCCCTTACAAGTTAATACTGTTTAAAAAATCCTATGAGATTTTGTTTTACGTTTTCTTACTCGTTGGTACAAAAGGTAGCCCGTTAAAAGTGGTTTTTGACACTGAATGTGGTGACGGTGTGTTTTAAACTGTACAGGCTGATCATAATCTCAATACCACTCACCTCACAGCATCACGGAGGAGGCGTGTAAGTGAGTCAGACGATTTTAAGCGTTAAACAGTTTTTGCCATTTACATGTATTGTTCGGTTAGTCCATCAGTTTAAGGACTTAAGGATTTTCCTCATGTGAAGTTTTAGTTTTAGGCACTATTATACCTTTTTCACTATTTGCCAATTTTCAGACCGGAGCAAACAGAGGAAATGGGAGTGATGAAAACATGTAAATGGAAAATAAGACAGTACGTTTGTCAGAACACTTTTGCATGTATAATGTCTGTTGTACCTTGGTTGAAGTAGATTTTCTGTGGTTGCAGGAGATTCTCCTTGACTTCTTGCCAAAAAAAATAAATAGTCCAGTAAGCTTGTCGAGGGTGTCCCTAAACTTTTTAAGTATACAGGTTTCAAAAGTTAGCAACTTAAACTATCCAGTTATTGTTATGAATGCTTTATATTTAGCAAGGAGACGAAAATATCTGAACACTGCATGCAGGCTCACCAGACTTTGACCCCATCTTCCAGATCTTCGTAATGAACCTGAAGAAGGAAAAAAAGAAGGGGAAAAAAAGGGCATGGTGAAAGTGCAGTGGGAGCTACAATAGGGCACATCTTGGCTGAAGTTCAAAGAAATGGCCTTTGATCATTGGTATGTTCACATGCTTATGAACATATCAGCAAGATATATTTTGCAGCATGCAGCCTTTAACATGGTGTTGCATTCCTTATCACTTTATATAGACACTGCCATGAAAACACATGGCGCTGAGCAGCACACTCTGTTTTATAGCACCTTTGATTATCATAGGCAGGCATTGACCTCACATCATCTGTTTACTTTCATGTCAAGGTGTGTGGTGTTCTCTCTGTAGCTCTAGCAACAACAACAAAACATATGATGGCAACTTAAAATGCCACTACTCTCTATTTGTACTGAACTCTCTCCTGACCCCGACTGAAAAAGCAGTGTATGAGTGTTAGTAATGCTGAGGAACAGCATTAAAATTGAAGAGAAGAAGCTGGACTTTGTCTTTGAGATTTTAAATGTCCAGTTTAATCAGCTGGGTCAGTACCGGCTCATGCTGACTGTGGAGAATCCACTTCTGGCAGGTTCTGCTGCTGGGGTCCAGCTCAGAGTGAAAGATGGAGAGATTCTACAGTCGAGCTCCGTCTCTACTGATACTGTTGAACAGGCTAGCTTGGATGAAATCTATGCTTTTTCCAGCAACAAGTTTGTCTTCACTCTGCCCAAAGGTAGGCTGTTTCAACTCTGCATTCCTAAGACCTCATAATGTTTTGTTGATGAGTGTTTTAGGTTACCACTATTTGATGAAGTCTTTCATGGACTTAAGCTAAACAGTCATGACCATCCTAGCTTTGTCTTAGTCTGAGTTTTATTGCTTTGTTAGGTTTTTGCAAGAATGACAGAAACCATGATGTCCGGCTAAAAGTAGAGGCAATTCGTGTGACTGACTCGGAGATGAAGGCAGGTGAGGGATTCTTTGCCATATACCCCAGGACCAACGCCCCCCGCATTAACCTGTTTGCAGACCCAGAGGAGGAGCTCTACCAGTACAGTGGCATGATGGCGCTGCTACGTGTACAGAATGACTATCTGGCCATGCACTGTGGACGCCTGCTCTACTCTGTGGCCTTTCATGAGGCCAGGCCAGTTGTCATGCTGAATGAGATCAGTGCTTCTAGCTTACCTGTGATAAAGAAGAAACTGTTTGATAGAGAGACTGCTTCATGCTCTCCCTGTGATGCCACTCTAAGTCTGGGGTCTTTTCAGGAACAGGTCAGCCTGTCTGGACACCTGGAAAAGTTACCAGACACTGAGTGTGCATCACCAAGGCCATGGTCGCCAGGGGTAAGAAAGGACTGCTGTCTCCTTCTGTTTTGCAGTCATTTTTGCACAACTGGCCATAAGTGGCAGTTATGATGATCCCTAGCTAGAGGCATTACAACAAACATTCATTGGTAGTGCGGGGTTGTGAGAAAATATGTAGTGTCATTCAAATACAGTTACATGCTAGTTTATAGTTTATGCAGTAAAAAATGTCATATCAGACTAAGGCTGGACAATATGACAATATTTATCATTATCATGATAAATTATGCCATAATGTTATAATTTACTTTCCTGAGCATATTGTGGATATTATCAATACCTAAAGAACACTGGTCAACTTGATGTTTCATTACAAAGACAGCATAAATATTCATGTTTATTTGGATTTAGTGCAAATTGTAAAACCTTGTATTAAAAAAAAAATCACTGTTCATAGTTTTTGATAGTATTTTTCAGTGTAGTACTATTTGTTGCTGTGTTCCAACTTATCAAAACCCAGAAAACTAAATATCATGATGCATAACTTGTATTATGAAAATATCTCATGAGTACTGATAATTTGGAAGGTTTTATTCTTTTAAAAATCACTACATGATACAACCGTAAGACAATAAGACAATTGTGGAAGCAAGATTAAAATAAATAAAAACTCCCCTGCATTGCACCTGAAACCATTTACTTGTAGTGTGTGCATATATGTGTCTTCTTAGAATATTACTAGTTTGTATTAATTATCCTTTCGCCAGATGCTGAGGTCTTGTTTTGGTAACTGGGTATTGATCAAAATTGAAAAAAGAGCAAGGTCAATCTCTGCATATCTTTTTTTTAATCTTTTTTTCATGTTGTACTGTGAAATTTGTTATATTGTTTTATGGTGCAAGACCCACATTACATATTGTATTGTGAAATTTGTGTATCATTGCACCCCTACTGTAAGGCAATCATTTTTTTAACACCTGTTTATGATCCCTTTCTGTAGCCCGTTTGGAACTCAGAGCCACATCCTGATGCGGAAATAGACCTCACCAGTGAGATGCTCCCATCATCTCCAAGCAGTGAATCCCCCGCAGTGCAACCTGAAGACAAGACGCCTGACTCAAATAGCCTGGCCCTATTTTCCCATGATGACACCCCGTCACAAAGCCACCCGCCCTTCCCGTATACTCATGTAAGTAAAGACATGCCTTTCTTTTTAGATGAATCAGTTCCTTTTATGTATTTAAGCTTAATGGATGAATGTTATGCCTAATAATAGCTGATTTGCCTTTGTCACTGAATGATAAATGTACCTTACCTTTTTATGCTTTTGATGACCTGAAAGGGTCTTGTGAAGCGCCAAAGCTGATTCACCCCTGTTGCCCCCAGCATTATGGACTGGCACCCTAAAGACTCAGGGGTCACGTGCCTAATTTCTGAGGTTGCTGTGCTAAAGCTTGTTCTATTAGTGAGCAGCAGTTGTAATCAGTGAGCCTTGCAGCACTCAATTAGGGTCTAATTGGATTGGTGTGTGTTCCTGCTATTCTCTGTGTTCTGTTCAGCAGAAGAGGCGGACACGCTTATCGCGGTTGACAGGTGTAATGTCACTGAAATGAAGCAGCTTCTGTTTCAGGATAAAAACCCTCCAATCTTCCACACCATCAGGAGCACACATTCAAGATGTTCACTTGCAGTTGAACTACAGGTGACACATGGGTTGGCCTGATGTGAAGCAAATTTTTAGTTTCTGTGGTTGGTGCATCGGTTACTGCGGAAATGGCACAGACACTTAAAAGAAGGATTTTTACTTTTTAAACCTTTATTTAACACAGTAGAGCCTTTGCACTTGACCTGTTTTACGAGACGTTGAAACTGATGATGCTGTGGAGGGTAACTTTTTGGAGAAGGAATTTATTAATGTGATTTTTACCTGATATACTATAAAAATGACTGCGCTAACCAGTATAAGTGTTCTCAGATTGGCCATGGAGACCACGTACACTATCACTGTTTGTGTTTTTCTTGCACTAACACACCTGATTCAGCTCATAAAGGGCTTGATAATTACCTCATGAGTTGAGTCAGACATGTTGAAGCACAAAAAAACACAAAAATTGCAGTGCAATGAGGGTAAAAACCACTGGAACAGAGGGATAGTAGGCTTTCAGATGTGACATTCAGTTTTATGAATGGGCACTTTTTTTCCATATTATATAAACCAAATTGTGTCATTGGTGGTATTTTTTGTCATGATTTAACGCTGTTGTAGAAATGGCTCAAGTGCATGAGGATCGCATGTGAAATGATTATGGTGGAACTAGGCACTCTGTGACAAGTACAAATCTTTCAGATGGTTATTAAAGTAGCAACATTTGTTGCAAAGAGACAGACAGACACACGCATACGAGGCAGTGTGTCATCTCGCCTGTCACACTTCCAGTGGCTGACAGCCTCCTTGACATACAGAGCAGAGACGACGCTGTCTGAACATTGCTTCAATTGATTTCCTGGAATTCATGACTGATAGAGATATCAGGCATCCATCATGTATTCCATGTACAGTGCAGAGGATTCAGCTACAGTATAAAGAGGACAAGTAGGCTCTTAAATTTTTTTTTAAGTAATTAGATGAAAAAAAAAATCCTCCTGTCCTCCACATAACATATGCTAGTAGATCTTGTATATAATTGCTATCACATAATAACTGTTTTTTCATTTTTTGTTTTTGCACCATTTGAAAATGGAAAATCTTATTTTATTAACATGCATCAAAGTTTCTATATATAGACTATGTATAGATGATATGTTTATATGTGAAAATATGTTTTATGATATATTTCCTTGTCTTAAGTGCAAAGATTGAATGCTAAATTAGGAAAAAAGTGAGAAAGAAAAACACTGAAGCAAGAAGGGTGAGATATGTGTTCATATGTGTTCGATGGCTGACTGAAGTGTATTTGGCTAATGGTTACCTGTCTGAGTTTGTGTTAGTTAAGTGTTTATGGTGAGAGAGGGAGGGGCCTGCTCGCAGTGGGAGAGGACTGTTCTAGATGTATGCAGGAGTATAGACCTTTGGTCTAAAGCATGGTAAAATGGTCAGTTCAAAGAGTTTAGAATGGACTGGGTAACTTCCCTGGATGGAATGTGTGTGGGTAGCAACTTATTGTCACAGTGGTGGCTGACAAGGAAGTGCTGTATAATTATATGTCCAAGGGGGCATCATATTGGCACAAGAAAAGCCTCACTCAGGCCCCACTGCTTCCTTAATCCTGTTTTGGGAGAAAAGAGATATGAGATAAGAGAACTGATTTAAAAGCAGATATGTAGCAGCAATGCAATGGAGTATTAACTTTTTGATAAGAGTAGCAGATAAAGAGTAGGTACACTAGCGCTGCTATGAACTAATCTTGATTTTTATCGCGATAGTTTGTTCCTTGATAACGACAAGCTTCCAAAAAATTCCATGAACATGGGAACTACAGCATTCCCAGATTTCAGAATTGTTAATAACTGCAATTGCTAAAATAATAAAAAAATGAACTTTTTTAAAAAATTGAGTGTAGCGAAGACCGATGTGTGCTTGAGTTTGTATTTTTATTTTATATTTTACTTGCATTTTTTCAAAATCTGAAGTAGCCGCTCATGATTTAACACTGTATTTTCGTTACAGCCAACCAAATCACTTCCCTCGCCAAATGTTAGCCATGTTGGGGATGTCAACATAAGCAGTGTCACTGACCTAATATTATTTTATAAACTTAACACTATAAATTTTATCTAACGTCATAGTGTCTATTGTTTTTACATTTTGTTCAACTGTGCTTTCTTACTCTTGAAGTTTTGAATCTTCAGAGTGAAGCTTGATTTTGTGCATGACACAGTCAGTTACAATGCCACATATCAGCAGTCTGATTGGATGCCACTCAGCTCATTTGCATAAAGCTGGTCCAGAAGGAGAGAGGCAAGAGTTAGCAGGTTGCACATAAGTAGTTTGATGTGTGAGTTATATGTGTGTATTTTCATCTCTCACCATATTATAGAACTTTATAAAACATTCAATTTGATGTAAATTATGCAAACAAATACAAAAGAAGAAAGATGAATAATTTTTGAGTGCCGTCAGAATGTACATCACGTGTATGCCATTTAAAATTTCAGCTCCCTTCCTGTAGGGCTGAAAAAATCAATATTTTTTTATAGAATTCGCAATTTGAAAGAGTACAAATCAAATCGCAGGAGCTGAGATATCGAATTGCAAGATACTGACCAAAAAGAGGCCACAATTTGTAGAAAATAATCGCAGTTTAAATCACAGTCACGATGTTGGTCAGAAAAATCACAATTATATATTTTCTCCAAATCATTCAGCCCTATCTTCCTGCATCCCTAAAACTTGCAACGTATAATGCAGCATGTAGGCTTAGCTTAAAGACAGGACAACAACAAATCAAAATAACCCTTTGGTTTTCTTGAGAGTTCGAAATACTGTTCAGATTTAAAATAGAGCATTAAAAATGCACATTATAATTATCGATAATTATGGATGTTTGATGATATAGAGTAGTAGGTAACATATGATTAAAAAAATGATTTTTGACCATATCAATCAGCACTAATGTACTAAACTAATACAATTTGTGTGTGTGTGTGTGTGTGTGTGTGTGTGTGAGGGAGGATAAATAGTTTGAATGCAGCTGCGTAGAGTGATGTATGTGTGGAGTTGATTACATCTACGTCTGAAGCAGGGATGGAAATTATTGAATCATTTGCATGTAAAATACAGCTGGAATAATGACGTATAGCTGCCTGCCCACTTGCGTTCAGATGGAAAGTAAAAGGAACAGAATCTAACAGAACAACACGTATGTTTATCTTTGTGGCTACTTCCCTGGCGTCTTTACTGCAACACAGTAACTAAAGCTCTCTCACTGAAGCTCTTTTCGTATCACCATTATAATGAGTGAAGACCAGTGAGATGGAAATTGACTTTGTCTTTAATTACTCTTTCTCTCCTGGCTGTTTGTTAGCACCCTGCTCGGCTTGTCCGCCCCTGACTGGAACGTGTTAGTGAGCTGTGTGTGCCACATCACACTGACTGCAGTGCCAAGCCTTATTGGCATTAATCAGAACGTGGTGATGCTGTGACAAGAACAAGCCTGCTTTAATTAAATGCTGAGGCACCCAACAAAGATCACCACTCGCTAAAGCTAGCACGGTACATAGTGGGTGCTTATTACTTACAGTTTCTTTTCTGCTTTTTTCTCTTTTTCATTAAAAAAATAAATAAATTGGCTGTTCCTCTTCGTACAGTAGATATTATTGATTTATCTAAATCGTTACTTGATCGATCACCATATTGTCGCTGCTTCTACCTTGTATCTCTAAAGTGCTACGTATACAGGAAATGGAAAAACACCCTTAAAAAAAGTTGAGACTTTTTTTCCATTTCCTGTTTTAAGTAATTTTGGTCATTTTTTCCTTTGGTCCATTTATTATGAAATGTTTGCATAATATCAGTGGAGAACTGTGATTGTTAGAGCTAGGCCTTTAGTTCAGGCCATAAATGTCAAAAAAATGGAAGCAAAGACCTCTATGGCCTGACATTCAGCGTTTTTTTAAAGCTTGTATATTAACATATATTTTACCTTGTAGCAGTTCATGTAGTACCTTTTTATTTTCTCTAAATTGGTGCCCATCATTGGAAATCAAAACATAATTGGTTGTTTCCGCTGGCAGCTCCCTATTAAACTGACACATTAGGACTTCAGTTCAGCTCCTGAAGACCCAACCAATGGGAGAGCTAGCTTGGCTGTCACTACTTAGATACCATGGAGAAGACAAAATCCTGATTGGATATTTTTTTCTGTTCGGGGTTTAACTTTTTTGTTTAACCCTTTTATTTCCAACAAGAACTTAACAGTGAAATAAGAAGGCACTGAGGGTTTATATGGGATAATGTGAGGAGCAGCTGGTGCATGGTCTATGAGTAGAGATGGCACATTACCAATCCTTCTTTTCTGATATCGATATTGAATGCCTCAGTATAAGTCTGACACCAAGCCAATATTTTTTTTTCTACTAAGCTTTAAAATGAGATTTCTAATTGATCCACTTCACTTAGGATAAGCATCATAAAGTAGACTATCATACTCATACTCAAACACTCTACTACCTCACAGGAAGAAATACACA